GGAACTGGTTCGAACGAGCGCAAGCAAAATATTGTGTGTAGAGAATTGGAGTCGCCACAGAGGGCAAAGCGAGAGACGAGTTAAAGTGCGGCCGCACGGCTGTCACTCTTCAGTGACATCTAATTAATAGTAGTTCAGTATTCTCACTGGTATCGCCCGGCTCAGCTTTCCCTAGAATAATTCCTTTAGCACCACAGCATGAACTTATTACGTGCGCTTCGGCGCGTCTTGGCCTATATTTGCTCTAAGCTATTTAAGAGCCTTAGCGTATGTCTGTGATTCATCCGTTCGTTGTCCTACCTTTATGAAACCTTTATTCGCTCCTTTCTGTCGTGCAGGCATATCCATGTATTCAGCACAAGCTGCTGTTTTGCCTCAACCTTCTTAATGTTCATTTTTCCCTCACTCGATATACTGTCTTAGTCCTTATTACCTGAAATCCTCCAGCTCGCGGGCTAGCATTCTCTGGCACTATCCAGCTTGGTACTATTATCTTAGCACCTTAGCTGCTGCGGTTAGGCCTCACTGCTCTGATACTCTAAGCAACCTTACTCTACGCTTGCATTTCGGCCATTCCCTGACCCTCCGTCAATTAATGTTTCCTAGCCTCTTAGTTCTTCCCTCCTCTTACTTCGTCAGCACACAGACGCCCGTTAGCTTCGCATTTCTAGGAGTTCATTTCTCATCATTTTCTCAGCACCCTAGCATGAATTGTTATTCTGCGCAACGCTACATATACATTTGTTCTGCACGTTCACTTCCTTTTAACTGATCTTTAATACTTTACCTCTATCGACTAATTCTTTCTCACCTAGTAATCTGAGTCCGTTATTGCAGCAAAGGATTCGACACTTACCTTTGTAAGAGCTTAGCTCTCATGGGCTTTTCCTATTTCAGTAGGCCATAACACTATACTCCTAGTACCCTCGTGTCGTGTTTCTGTCTTGATCACCCGATACTTTATACTCAGCACTTGAGTCCTATCTATCCGCCGACTTACCACCAATTGACCTGTGTATCCCTTTCGATGTGGGCTGGACACCGGCCGTCCATCCACCATTCAAACGCCGCTGATCCCTGAACTCTGCTTTCTGTCTTCCCACGCAATAGTCACATCATAGAAAACTGATACAGCGTTTCTGCTTAATGGCGCAACGCTCTGTAATCCAACAAACCTATAGGGTCACTTCTTTCGAAAAACGATCATAAGACACTTTCAGCACAATCATTTCTGCCCATTGTACATCATTTGTCTCCACTCTAAATGTTATAACATAGGAGTTCAACAATGCTTGTTTCCACGCCTGTTCGTTGCGGCCTTGGTTGTCTCTCACCTTCCCTTTTCTCCGAGGTCCGGAACTTCTTGGGGATCCGGGATTGGTTCGAGAAACCGCTTTTGTCCGGGACAGGACAACCAATAAGGACCTATGAAGCATATGGCTGTACAACAAACGGATACAACAGCACTCAATACCATGACCGTTATCCAGTGATGATAGCTGGATTCGAGAACTTCACACTCCTGAAAAAATACATACTCCTGAAAATTCCAGAAGCAAGAAACTGACGTTACGCCACCTGAATACCCACAAAGACGATTCTCCGTGAAGCCCCTATCCTCGATCGCCTCAGCCATTATGGCGGCCCAAGATACCTGATCAAATAACAGAGGAAATTGAAGGTCATTTGACTGCGGATATCTGCGTGTGAAATCAGTCGACAACCTGGTCTGCCATTTGTTTATTAGTGCACCGACAAATTTCTGACAGTGTTCAATGACGTGGTGGGTTTTCGCCTAGCAAGCGTGCTCCCTAGAAAAAGCCACAAATGTCCGTATAACAACATTGCGACGTTGCAGATGTGACTCGCCACTGAACAAAACCACTGCCAAGAACAACCTACTGGCAAGTCGACCAGAATCATTATTCAATATTGCCCTGACACTTTCAATAATATGTTACACTGTGCTTATTTGTATCGTTTTCATTACACATATAGTGCTCTGACTGTATACACTACGCACGCTCGAATTCAACGTTTCGTTATTTATTGAAGACTCTATCCCTCATGACTACTCACACAATTTCCGCAGCCTAAACAACCTCCGGCTGACTGCCGACTACACTCATAGCAACGTGTTTGTTGCGAAGCAATATTGCGTGTAAGTGTTGATCATGCCTTGCTTAGTGTGTCTCGACAAATTCGAGAATAAACTATTGATTTATTTATTTAGAACAGCACGGGCGTTTGCATTAGAAAGCCATTTGCAGAAGTGAACGCGTTACATTGTATTCGCGAACGTCCATCACACCTTCGGAAAGTTTCTTGTTTTTATGAAACCAATTATTAAATGTGCCTTTGGTTGATGTTGACTTTCCGTTGCGTACGTGTATTAAGGCAGCGGTTGCAGCAGCATGTGCTGCTATGCTAGCAAAACGGCATGCTGTCCGCAGTTTCATCTTGCTTACGCCACTTCTGTACAAGTGACAGCATGTTAATCATTAAACATGTTAGAGGTGGAAAAAACCGTAGCTACTGTCGCAAAACGTAGGATAAAAAAGGAGAGAAAACTAATTTAACAGTTGCAAGCCAGCTGAGCTACCGTTAACGGATGTGCATGGTACCGGTAAGCTATCGGCCGTTTAGTATTCAGTAAAAAGTTACCATACGAAATCATATATAAATAAATAAATAAATAAACTTTTATGCTCGACAAGGCGAGGCACACCTGTACAGGCATGATCATGCTTAACTAACATAGTGTGATCACAAATGTACAAAAAGTACATGTTGGCACAATAGTGTATGTAAATGTATGAGTGTAAATACGTATGTAATTTTGTATAAATGTAGCTTGTGTCTTTGAATATGCCGGAGCATTTTTGACTGTTTGTTATCCTCCGGAATGTGAGCAAAAGCGATTGATGTCTGTGGGTTGGATAGCACTTCCGGATAGCTACGGGCCAGTGACCTTATTTTGTGGCGAGTCACATCCGCCACGTCGCAGTGTTGTTAAACAGACGTTTGTGGCTTTTTACAGGGAAAACGCTTGTCAGGCGAAAATCCACCACGTCCTGGAACACTGCCGCCGAACTATTTGCTGGAACCGGTTAAACCCGAACCACCCAGCTGGCACCACGAGGAGGTTGTTCGACT